TGTGCTATGCTGTTTCTTACTCAGCGTCCACCAAGCGGCACAATTAACAAAGGGTTCAAGCTGCTCTTTTCAAACAGACTGGAACCAAGCAGAGTGGTGCTTGCTGGCCTAAAGGGGAGACCATTCAGCTGCTTTCACTGTGGATATTTGTTTTGTTACTTATAAGAGATAATTTCAAGAAAGGGCCATATGCAGAGTCCTTAGGGGGTGGGTTACCTGTGCATGCAAGTGGGAGAAAGAAAAGACATTAATTGACCTGGCTTGCAGAGGTGTGGTAGGTCGTAAGTGTGTTTACAGTAATAATGAAAAGTGTTTCTCTACGAGGTGATAAAAAGAACACTGGACTGCAGTAGGCAGAACGCAAATGAATTCCCAAGGTGCCTATGGAAAACAAAATCTGCTGGACATAAAACTATTAGATAATGATTCGAAGCTCATCATTGTCTTGCCCCAGACAGACAGAACTGGGTGCCTAGTTCTACAAGCCCGTGGCAGTGCAAAAGCCAAGGAGTTTCTCGTCTACCTGGCACCAGCAAGGCACGGATCTGCTTAGCGAATGAGAAATGAGCAAACTTACAGAACTCTCTAGTTTCCACGCTTCCATGAAAATAACTGCGAGGCTGTTCTAAATACTGGGTAAAATCTCCAACTAGTGAGCAAACTGTACTCTGGACTCATGACAGAGCCTCAGGAGGCAACCAACAGCAGGGTAGGTGTACTGCAGGGTTGCAAAACAAGAAGAGCAAACACCTTTGGGGTCTTTAACAAGGCACTGGCGAGTGAACCTCACAGAGAAGCAATTGACCAAAGGAGCGTTTAATACACGATAGATAGGCTCTGATGGAAAATAAATTTTTCATGCATTTCCAGTAGTTATCAAAACTTTATATCAAACCATCTCATAATAATTCCCACCCGGAGTATAAGCTCTATACTAGAGCCCTATCAAAATCCAAGTGCCTCAAACAGGGCTTTTGTTACACCTTTTGTCCCAGTGGCAGAGAGTTGTTATGTCCCACTCCTTGTTGAAAACACCACAGTCCCAAGGCAATCTCTGGCATGCCTCAGGTGTGCTAGTGCAAAGATTGAAAATCAGCAGTATCTACAGAATTTCTGCATAGGGGCAGTAATCAGGTTAGATGAGGATGCCAAAGGAATTTTCCTGACGCTATGTTTAATATAGTTGTAGCTTTGCTGCAAATACATAAAAATACCAAAGTTTCCTAAAGATGTTTTATTGACACTTTAAATAAGACCGAGAGAATATCCAGTGTCACGAACAGTGAATATATTCTTATCGTTGTTGTTGTTTTTGTTATTATTAGGGTACCTGAAGAGTACTGATGGAGATATTAAGGGATATCAAAGCCACCTTTGAGAACTCCAATCTTGCGGTAAGCTGAAATGAGGAGTGCAATTTGTAGCCTTGAATGGAGTTTCTTTCTGTGCAGAACTAACTGGTCCCCATTACCATCAAATAAACAACTCTAACATCACCAGTACTGCATCCTAACTACCCCAGATGGTAGCTTAATAGCCTGAAAGAATTAATAGTGCACCTCTAAGCACATTATTCATCCAGAGAAGAGTTGAAGCAAAGGAAAGAATCTGGTCCATTATACCACACACAATTGCTAAATAATATGCAATCACGGAAATTAAGCGTGGCATATGGTCATCTCCCTACTACATCGAGATTCATTGTAATAAAAGTGCTATTCAAAACCTTTATAGAAATTCAGAAGGCATACCTTTCTTTTCTGGAAGAAACATTACAATAAGACAAGCCAGTCCTCCTAGGCACAGAAATGCTGCTAACGTCCGTTTCCGGCCAAACCTAAACAACAGAGAGAAATGACATACTTCCCTTAACGAATCTTATAAACTCATCTGCTGCTTCTTCCCAACCTTCCTTTTTAAATGTCCTCAGTTTCATTATATATGTTCATCTTTTCTTAAAGTGTGGGTGGCAAATGTGACTTACAGGAAACTGACTAGCACATAAAATATTATAAATAACCATCATAAAACAAAGGAAAACGTGTTGGATGGCAGGATTAAGTGATGTGTGCAGGAAAAGAACATAGAATCACTCTATCTATTTCCATGAGTGCTGACTATGTTTCAGACACTGTTTAAAATGTTTTCCATCTATTATCTTATTTAATCCTAATAATAAACGCATAGGCATGTACTGCGATATTCTTCGTCTTCTAGAGAGTAAAACTAAAACAAGGAGAATGAAGACTTCTAGCTCACTTTATTTTCTAGTTACCTGAATCTTATGGAGACAA